AGCAGTTCACAACGTCCATTAGAGACACATGTCATCCATGTCGCATCCACATGCAGCATCTTTAGCAAGCTCCATAATCAGCGTATCAGGCTCAGCACTCATAGTGGGTGGCCATGGCAAGGGTATGGCTCAAGATCTTTCGCTTTCAAGGGCGGCATCGAGTAAACGCCGTGGTTCGTTCGAGGGCAATCGCCGAGGACGAGGCGATTGCCCCCAGGGGTTCGGGGGACATGGTGCCCTGGACCCCTCCAGCAGGCTGGATCGGGAGACATATTGGTATGTCTGATTCCCGATCGTGTCAGCCTACGCCCTCCGGATACTCGCGACCGTGCGAGGTATCCATGATCGCATTTCACGAACCGGTAGGGACGACCGCCGTTATACCCCCCCCCGCATCGACCGTGGCACACGGCTATGCTAAAGGACAGGCGTTCCGGCTCCCCCGCCCGGTTTGACTCCTCACTTCCTATTTCGTTAGTCCGCAAAGAGATGAACTAGCGAATGGGATAGTCCCGATCTTGGACCAGGAGACCGCGATCTTGAATCTCATAGCTCCATTCTCCGCCGATCGGTACGATGACGGCGATGCAAGAGGTAAAATCCGCCCAATATTTCGCGCAGCCATCCACTGCCAGTACAGAGAATCGTGGATTACGGGTCTCCAGCGCCTCGCCCAACTGGCGCGTGCAGCGAGCGTACTCCCGAACCGCCCCTAGACTACACCTTGTACCCTGCAAAAGAAACATACTCCTGGGTCGTGATGACTGCCACGGCCCTTCACCCCCTCATGAACCGGGCCGTGTCGCGCTGCGGGAAAGCATAGCGACACGGTCCGGTTCATGAGGTGGTGAAGGGCCGTTGCAGTCATGACCATCCACGATTATGGTTCAGGCGCAAGTTATAGTCTAGGGGCGGTTCGGGAGTACGCTTGCCGCGCGCGCGCGCCAGTTGGGCGAGGCGCTGAAGGCCCGTAATCCACGATTCTCTGTACTGGCAGTGGATGTGGTCCAGAGGATGCTCATCGTGAACACCGGTCTCAGCCACCAACAGCCGGAGGGCGTCGGTTACCGAAAAATGTTCCAACCGCACCCAAAACATGGTCCCGTTCAGGCTGTAGACTTGGATGTCATATGACCGCGGGAGATGGCGGCCGTGACGGCCATGGTCGAGGGGAACATGCCGTAGATGATGTCAAACCGCAAGGGCGTGCGGTGGTCCGGCCAGGCCTTCGTCACGTTTCCGGCGCCGGCGGCGGTTGGCACGTCCTCCTCGAGGCGGATGACACCCGTGCCCGCCATGTAGAAGGCTTCCCGGAAAACGGGCGCGATGTCCTTAGTTGCGTTGGCGTGGTTGTTTTTGATCATTGCGAACGGTGTCATGTACAGTTCGTACCGCGTTGACGAAAGACTGTATACAGATTTTGTATTTTTTTTCCTCTTCTATTCGCTGGGGTCTTGGAGTCAAAACACATGAGCTGTGTGCGAGCTGTTGAGCTTGGCTATCGTCGCAACTGGCAGCTGGCAGCCACCTGCGGGCTGCCCCTGCTACCTTCTTGCACACATCTTGCGTAGCACATCTTGCATATACCCTTGTATGATACTTGTGAAATTGACTGGAAATGTGTCTGCCGCCTCTTTTTTCGCCACTTGTTGGGCAGGCTTGGCAGAAAAAAGGCGGCAAGAGAAACCGAATAACCATGTAATTGAAAGCTTTCTACACGCAACCTTTCGGGCTGTAACTGTAACTGTAACTACTCTTCTCTCCCTCGCGTGCGCTGTGTCTGGCGTGTTTTCGGTTTCGATGAACGCTTGTTTGTTACATATGTCAGGTGTTCGAGGGCATCGTGAAGAACATGCTCGTAAACAACGGCCACCGCGCCACCGTCGAGAGCGTACCCAACACCGAGCTCGAGGCTGCTATCGACGGCAAGGAAAAGGGAAAGCTGGACGAGGTCAAGAAGAGCATGTCCGAACAGGTGGAGAAAACGTAACAGAACCGCAGTTTATCGTGTCGTGCTATTTCTATGTGGACTGCAGCTCTCTCTCCTCGGGTGGGTGCTATGTGGAGTTTTCCGTCTTCGATAGAAACCCTGCTGAGCCCCCCCCCCCGCCGCGAGAGCCG